ATTATTATTTTTCAACCATCTAAAGAACATACATTTATATAACTGTAATATGCCTTAGACTGCCTTATCTGGTGACAGCATATATCCAAGTATTTCCTGAGGGCCGTGATAGTAATTTGTAGTAATTTCGGAGGTTGTCTTTAATCTTAACGTTGTGTGAATCTGCCATTTATCAGGTAAAAGTTGTACTTCAAATGACCAACTAGATTTTGCAAAACAGAGAGGATGTGTGGCAATATTTTCCCGTTAAAATGTAGTAATTAAGAGTCGTATTTATTCATTTTTTGAGCGTGTTTTTGTTCTCTACTTACCTTTTCTCTGCACCTTTACTGTCAAGAGTTATAATGTTGCGTTGGTTATTATGACTGCATTGTGGGGACTTATCAGCATTGTGGGGACTTTTTAGCATTGTGGGGACTTATCAGCATTGTGGCGACTTATCAGCATTGTGGGGACTTATCAGCATTGTGGCGACTTATCAGCATTGTGGGGACTCATCAGCATTGTGGCGACTTACCAGCATTGTGGCGACTTATCAGCATTGTGGGGACTTATCAGCATTGTGGCGACTTATCAGCATTGTGGGGACTTATCAGCATTGTGGGGACTCATCAGCATTGTGGCGACTTATCAGCATTGTGGGGACTTATCAGCATTGTGGGGACTCATCAGCATTGTGGCGACTTATCAGCATTGTGGGGACTTATCAGCATTGTGGGGACTTATCAGCATTGTGGGGACATATCAGCATTGTGGGGACTTATCAGCATTGTGGGGACTTATTGGCATTGTGTAAAACTGTAAAAAAAAAAGACAGCTACAATGAGATTTTAAAACACACTTCACTGTTTATTAGTTTTCATTTCACATAAAGCAGAGCAGTCACGTTCAGTTTAGTTCATGGAATTTTTCACACCAACAGAAGACTTAAACTACATTAACGTTTATTTTGATAAGTAACTTTAACATCTTATAATCACTGCTTTCTTTTAAGGTCTCAGACTAAAGACATTACTCGAATTTCATAAACAAGAAAACATGTCTACTGTCTTTTCTTCATTTATTGACGTCATTACAAATAACAGTTGATGTACGAACAGATATACTTCTGAGATCAACACTCGTGCTTCATTCATACATCTAATTTCTTGGGATTTTTAAAAGAATCCCAAAATTATTTCACACAATTCTGGGATCAGTGCTTTACATAAAAAAAACGTTTTCATGAAACTATAGCATAGACTGTAATTGGAGTCACTTAAATATGCAATGTCTTGGCAAAGGTCTTTTGTAATTGATACGAAACTCCTTTAAATATATATAATAATGTATAACTCTCCAGTAGATATATGAAAAAGAAAAAAGGATAAAGAAAGCTTGCATTATTTTGAGAAAAAATGTAATTCTGGTCGTCATTGTGTTAAAAAAAATAAGGAAATTCACATTAAAAATCATACATTTGCATAAAAAACGTTGAAATTTGTCTCAAATTTGTGAGTTATTTCTTTCAAATTTCACTGATTTAATCTGAGAGAATAGTCTCCTTTTTACTCATACATGTATGACTTTAATCTCATATTAGACTGTTGTATATCGGGGCGAATTCCACTTTATTTACTGTTATTTGCTATTATACAGAACAATCTATCAGCTAAAGGGATTTATATCACAATCAAAACAAAACAAAACAGAGCAGAAGTAAGGCTTGAATTAATCTGATGTTTTTTGTTTAAAACAAACAAACCCTTTTTCAAATCTTTTAAACGTGGGACTATGAGTCTGTGCAGCGTCTGTAGAAGTGGAAGTGGTAATCTGTGAAGAGCGCCCCCGCCAGGTGATGATCGGTATTACAGTCTGCCTGACCCTGAGGATAAAGACAATAACACACACTTAATATATTACATTAAAGCATGGAGACACTACTTACTGATATACACTTGAACATCAGCAGGAGAGGACTCTTTAAAGTAGAGACACTACATACTGATATACACCTGAGCATCAGCAAGAGAGGACTCTTTAAAGTAGAGACACTACATACTGATATACACCTGAACATCAGCAGGAGAGGACTCTTTAAAGTAGAGACACGACATACTGATATACACCTGAGCATCAGCAGGAGAGGACTCTTTAAAGTAGAGACACTACATACTGATATACACCTGAACGTCACCAGGAGAGGACTCTTTAAAGTAGAGACACTACATACTGATATACACCGGAGCATCAGCAAGAGAGGACTCTTTAAAGTAGAGACACTACATACTGATATACACCTGAACATCAGCAGGAGAGGACTCTTTAAAGTAGAGACACGACATACTGATATACACCTGAGCATCAGCAGGAGAGGACTCTTTAAAGTAGAGACACTACATACTGATATACACCTGAACGTCACCAGGAGAGGACTCTTTAAAGTAGAGACACTACATACTGATATACACCTGAGCATCAGCAGGAGAGGACTCTTTAAAGGAGAGACACTACATACTGATATACACCTGAACATCAGCAGGAGAGGACTCTTTAAAGTAGAGACACTACATACTGATATACACCTGAACATCAGCAGGAGAGGACTCTTTAAAGTAGAGACACGACATACTGATATACACCTGAACGTCACCAGGAGAGGACTCTTTAAAGTAGAGACACTACATACTGATATACACCTGAACGTCACCAGGAGAGGACTCTTTAAAGTAGAGACACTACATACTGATATACACCTGAGCATCAGCAAGAGAGGACTCTTTAAAGTAGAGACACTACATACTGATATACACCTGAACGTCACCAGGAGAGGACTCTTTAAAGTAGAGACACTACATACTGATATACACCTGAGCATCAGCAGGAGAGGTCTCTTTAAAGTAGATACACTACATACTGATATACACCGGATATCAGCAGGAGAGGACTCTTTAAAGTAGATACACTAAATACTGATATACACCTGAGCATCAGCAGGAGAGGACTCTTTAAAGTAGATACACTACATACTGATATACACCTGAGCATCAGCAGGAGAGGACTCTTTAAAGTAGATACACTACATACTGATATACACCTGAGCATCAGCAGGAGAGGACTCTTTAAAGTAGAGACACTACATACTGATATACACCTGAACATCAGCAGGAGAGGACTCTTTAAAGTAGAGACACTACATACTGATATACACCTGAACATCAGCAGGAGAGGACTCTTTAAAGTAGAGACACTACATACTGATATACACCTGAACATCAGCAGGAGAGGACTCTTTAAAGTAGAGACACTACATACTGATATACACCTGAACATCAGCAGGAGAGGACTCTTTAAAGTAGAGAGACTACATACTGATATACACCTGAACATCAGCAGGAGAGGACTCTTTAAAGTAGAGACACTACATACTGATATACACCTGAACATCAGCAGGAGAGGACTCTTTAAAGTAGAGACACTACATACTGATATACACCTGAACATCAGCAGGAGAGGACTCTTTAAAGTAGAGACACTACATACTGATATACACCTGAACATCAGCAGGAGAGGACTCTTTAAAGTAGAGACACTACATACTGATATACACCTGAACATCAGCAGGAGAGGACTCTTTAAAGTAGAGAGACTACATACTGATATACACCTGAACATCAGCAGGAGAGGACTCTTTAAAGTAGAGACACTACATACTGATATACACCTGAACGTCACCAGGAGAGGACTCTTTAAAGTAGAGACACTACATACTGATATACACCTGAGCATCAGCAAGAGAGGACTCTTTAAAGTAGAGACACTACATACTGATATACACCTGAACGTCACCAGGAGAGGACTCTTTAAAGTAGAGACACTACATACTGATATACACCTGAGCATCAGCAGGAGAGGACTCTTTAAAGTAGATACACTACATACTGATATACACCTGAACATCAGCAGGAGAGGACTCTTTAAAGTAGAGACACTACATACTGATACACACCTGAACATCAGCAGGAGAGGACTCTTTAAAGTAGAGACACTACATACTGATATACACCTGAACATCAGCAGGAGAGGACTCTTTAAAGTAGAGACACTACATACTGATATACACCTGAACATCATCAGGAGAGGACTCTTTAAAGTAGAGACACTACATACTGATATACACCTGAACATCAGCAGGAGAGGACTCTTTAAAGTAGAGACACTACATACTGATATACACCTGAACATCAGCAGGAGAGGACTCTTTAAAGTAGATACACTAAATACTGATATACACCTGAGCATCAGCAGGAGAGGACTCTTTAAAGTAGATACACTACATACTGATATACACCTGAGCATCAGCAGGAGAGGACTCTTTAAAGTAGATACACTACATACTGATATACACCTGAGCATCAGCAGGAGAGGACTCTTTAAAGTAGAGACACTACATACTGACATACACCTGAACATCAGCAGGAGAGGACTCTTTAAAGTAGAGACACTACATACTGATATACACCTGACAATTAGCAGAGTAGGGCCACTTTAAAAAGAAAAGTTTGTTTCTTACGGCCACTGTGGAGCGAAAGTGATACGAGCTGTGAGAAAGACGAGCGACGTGGAGATTCCATTCATGTTCTCCCTGCAGAAACAAAGAGAGAAAAAGATCAGATATACCTTAATTAAATATAAATAAATATAGTTAAAACAAATAAAAACAACGTCTCAGAATCATCAAAACCATCACTCTGGGTTGATCTGAAAATGGAAGGTGTTACTCCTTTTACTCGAGTAAAATATCTTCTTCCACCTCTTCTGTATTCTGTCTTTCACTTTGAGATTGGTGTCCATGTCCGGGATTAGAGTGAGTTTTGCTGAGATTAGCATGTTGACGTCCTGATGTGAGGGAAACACTGCCACGCATTCATTATTGATCAGTGTCTTCCAACTCTACCTGCATTATTTACTGTAATGGTAACTGAGTTAGTGGACTGGAACCTCAGTGACCCTCAAACCAACGCAAACAAACACACACACAAGTTTCCTCAAGCATGCAGTATTGTTTACCATTGGCCATTTTTACGAAAAACCAAATCGCTTAAAACGAAAAGGTCCTAGTGGATCGAAAGCCCAAAGTTAGATGGACTGTTATCCCTGAAACAATGTCTTTTAAAGAAATAACCAATCTAGAGTTAAGTTACTGATGGCCCTACTAACGTTACCAGAACTTACTATGGTCTGGCTTGTTTGAAGTAAATATGTCAGCGTTGTTGTTGTTGTCTTTAATTTGAATCCTTATGGTTTATGTGCATATGTATCAATGTGTCTTAAGGTATATACATATTGGCATACATATTTTTATATATATTTGTATTTTTGTATTCTGGATTGTGGGAAACGGTATTTCGATCTCTCCGTCTGTCACACAAACTAAATAAAGTGGACTTTGACTTTGTACTCACTTTGGATAAAAGCGTCAGCTAAATGTAATATAATATACCATATAGCTCAATTTAACGAATAACTTATAAGAATTAACATAGATTTCTGCTGTTGGAAATGAACAATAGATAACTGTATCATCTGCATAGAAATGATTGTAGATTATTGACATTTATGGAGAACAGTAGTGGTCCCATTATGGAGCCCTGAGGCACGCCTTTTGATATCAAAACAGCCTTATTTAGGTGATAATAAATGTATTCTGAACCGTAGTAGTCCCATTATGGAGCCCTGAGGCACGCCTTTTGATATCAAAACAGCCTTTTTTAGGTGATAACTGTGAATGTGTGATATTTACCTGTGTGTTTGACGGGTATCTGCTCGCTGAGACGCTGTCTAGATCCAGCAGAGCAGAGCAAGGCGCCGACTCATCGAGGCTGCAGAGGTGAACCACCAGCAGCTCTGTGGAGCTACACAGAAATAACATAAATATATATATTAATGTAAATATAAATACATTTATGACAACATAAATGTATTTACTGTCATGTCTTTATTTTTATTTATAGCTATTACCATGTCCAAATTCCAATATTTACAACACTATTTTGCAAATGTTGTATACATGAAAATAATGTATTAATACAATCATTTGTAATTTTAGTAATAAGAGATACGTTACTATCCTATGTTGTTTTACTATCCTATGTATATACAAGTATGTCTATGCTCCTGTACTGTAAGCATATATTCCTGTTACTAACCGCAGCATTTTTGACTTTTTTAGAATATTTTAATTATCCAGAATTGTTATACTATTTTTCATTATACTTTTTAAGTATTTTTTATTTTATGTCTGAACACACTGATGCTTCTTTTGTAACAAAACAATTTCCCAAATTGGGATCAATAAAGTATTTATCTATCCATACTTAGAAAGTAGAGACTATGAGTAATAACCTGTGCTAATTTATACATTTTGAGGGTAATGATTATTTTATTTCCAAACCCTCTTTAATTAATCGGATAAATAATGTATCTTTGTTCAATTTAACAAATATGAAGTAAATTGCTGTTAAAATAGTTTTCATTTTAACCCTCATACCTTTGGTTTAGTAATAAAGTTTACATTTACAAAACATCATAAAGATTGTTTTCATTATTATTTTCAATATTGACTCAAAATAAAGTTGATATTTCCAATTATCTGGAGCTGTTCGAACATAAGACTTCCCTTATAGTCTAAATATTTAGGGTTAATTTAAACTCACTTCATGATCAGCGTGACTCTCATGTTGACCGGGACAAACTGACTGACAGGAACTCTGAAGACGTATTTCCCGGGCCTGAAGGAAACACGGAAATCAATAATAAAACGGCATATTTTACACAAATTTAAGGTTTTTCAGACACGTCAGAGTAAATAAGGTTTATTTAGTCTTTCTTCTGTCTCACTTACCCACAGTCGTCTCTCAGGCAGTATTTTCTGTCGATCACCTGCTGGCTCTCTTTGATCATAAAGGATTGGATGGTGGTGTTCGTCCCTAATGGAGAAAACAGATTATTAGAGATGCATGTTAATGAAACATCTCGCATTGTGTGCAAAACAGATGCTGATATTGTTGTAGTCTGCATCGACCTGAAGACATAACACAGCTTCCTCCCTTAAACTAAGCTCTAATGACTGATCAAATATTAAAAACTAGACTATTTGTTTATTTTTATTCTGCTGTTTGAGTTTAAAATGTAGAAGTAATAAACTTACAATCTCCAGCAAGTTTCATCTGGTCGTAAAGTTTTTCTTTTCTTTTTTCTGTAAACCAAAAACCATTCAGAAGAAATCAAATCAAACTTTATTTATAAAGCACTTTTCATACACAAAGTGCTCCACAAACCAAACACATACAAACAATTTACAAACAAATAAATACAATAATATCTCACCATTCCCAGGTATAACCACTTACTACCAAGGCAGGACTGAATACAATAATAAATAATAAATAATAAATAATAAATAATAAATAATAAATAATAAATAATAAATAATAAATAATAAATAATAAATAATAAATAATAAATAATACATAATATATAATAAATAATAAATAATACATAATATATAATAAATAATAAATAATAAATAATACATAGTACATAATGAATAATAATTCAATTAAGAAATATATCTTTGAGGTCTTTTTGTGTCTCTTTTTGGTAGCGTTACCTGACATATGAGATGTATGCGTGGAGGTGATGTTGGGCTCAGTGCTGCCCCCTGGAGGGCAGCAGTACACATGGTCACAGTACAGCAGCTCACAGAAGTCCACATCTGGAGGCCAATATTTGGGGGGGCTGGTGGGGGGGACTGGGGGAGAAAGGTGGGCGTTATTGCACTAAAACAACTCTGACACTGTTGACACGGTTAAATGCCTGAATTTCCCCAAGGGGATAAATCTAAATAGTTTCATCTCATTTTATTTTAATTCTCGTGCATAATGTATAGTTGTTTGTTACCTGGGCTGCTCCAGGCTGTCGGCTGCAATGGCTCCACACTGCCGTTACTGACAACAACAACAACAATCAGCACAAACAACAACACTGTGGCTTCATTGTCATGTGCTCAGCAGCTACAGTGTAGATATGTCAATGAAACACTGAAGTCCCAGGCTCCTCCAACAGAGCAACATGAATATATATATAGGACATAGAACTAATAAAACAAATAAAATAGTGCAAGAGAATGTTTTGAGATGTGCAAGTAAATACAAATAAAAATAGAAACAGTGCAAGAAGAGTCTATATACAAGTAAATATAATTATATATTAGATATATAATTAGCTAAATGCAATCAGATGGATGTTTATGGATGTTCTTTCAAAAGTTCAGGTGTAGTATCGTAGTATCGTTGCTTTGTTGTTCCTACATTTGAGATTATTAATTATATTTATATTGTCAAATGAAGTAATGTTTTATTAATCTGTCTCTTGATGTGTTTTAGTTCAGCGTACCTCATGTCCGAGTCGTCAGTCAGGTTCAGCAGGTAGATAGCCGTGATAGAGATGACGCTGAAAACAAATTAATATTACTGAACCAATGTGTGCTAAAGAAATCTGACCAAGTCACACAGAAAAGCAATGACTTTAAACAGAGGAGACACAGGAAGAGGATTCATTCAGCTCGGTCATTTACTTTACAGTCTTAAGACAGAAGGGGAAGTAGAGGAGGCGTGTGGTGCAGTGGATTGTGTGTTGGTTTTCGGATCAGGTGGTCACAGGTTCAAACCCCACTGCAATCAGCATGTCATTGGGCAAGACACTTCACCCCAAAGTGCTCCTGTGGGGATTGGCCACAGTATTGAGTATGTAAGTCGCTTTGGATAAAAGCGTCTAACAAGTGACATGTAATGTATAGCATGTTAATTACAACCCTAACATCCATATGATAATTGCCTGACGATGGTCAAGGCGACACCCTTCTGTCTGAGAACATTAGGAAACCTATATATTGAATTATTATACATTCCCATGATAAACAGGAAGTGAGGTTACCAGAAAGCCATGGTGGCCAGCAGGGTGAAGACGCTGGCCTGGAAGACTTTGTGCCGAAGAACCTTCTGACTCCGGCTCTCCTTCTGAACTCTGACAGGTTTCCCCTCCTCAGGACTCACACACACACTGCTGGGTTTCCTGCTGAGAGGGCAAGGTACACACATCCTTTACACAAGTAGAAGTACACACATCCTTTACTCAAGTAGAAGTACACACATCCTTTACTCAAGTAGAACTACACACATCCTTTACTCAAGTAGAACTACACACATCCTTTACTCAAGTAGAAGTACACACATCCTTTACTCAAGTAGAAGTACAGATACTCGTGTTTAAAAATACTCTGTCGAGTCCTTCCTCAGTTAGTCATTTTTCATTTTTATCACAAAACCTTTCCACCAGAAAATAAAAGAATCTCTTTAAACCTTCATCCTTTCCTTTAGTCTGGAGAAACCTTGGGTTTTTAGTGTTTGAAGGCTCTCATTATACATTAGCCTTCAGAGACTTCTTCGTCCTTGAACTGTGACTTTCACTGATAACACTGATACACACACACACACACACACACACACACACTTTATCAGAACTGTCCCTATCAGTTGCATACTGTACTTTATTACCTGAACCACACACACACACACACACACACACACACACACACACACACACACACACACACACACACACACACACACACACACACACACACACACACACACACACACACACACACACACACACACACACACACACACACACACACACACACACACACACACACACACACACACACACACAGAGGTGGAGGTACAGAGGGACCAGGAGCTACACTGCCCTTTTGTTTTAAATAGGGCAGATGTGTGTAAATCCTTTAAAAGGGTTAACCCACACAAGGCTCCTGGACCTGATGGCATCCCTGGCCGTGTTCTCAGGGTGTGTGCAGTTCAGCTGGCAGAGGTGTTCACAGACATCTTCAACAGGTCCCTGCTGCAGTCTGTAGTCCCCACATGCTTCAAACATTCCACTATCGTTCCTGTCCCCAAAAAGACAATCATCACCTGCCCCAACGACTACCGCCCAGTAGCACTCACCTCCATCATAATGAAGTGCTTTGAGCGGTTAGTCAAATTATTCATCACCTCCTCCCTCCCTGAATCTCTGGACCCCCTGCAGTTTGCCTACAGAGCAAACAGGTCCACAGACGACGCCATAGCCCTCACCCTCCACACTGCCCTCTCACACCTGGACCCGAAGAACAGGAACACATATGTGAGAATGCTGTTCATTGACTACAGTTCAGCATTCAACACCATTGTGCTCTCCAAGCTGGCCATCAAGCTCAGAGACCTCGGGCTCAACAGCGCCCTCTGTGACTGGATCCTGAACTTCCTGACGGGCAGACCCCAGGCAATGCGGGTGGGAAACATCACATCCTCCACCCTGATTCTCAACACCGGTGCCCCTCAAGGCTGCGTGCTCAGCCCTCTTCTCTACTCCCTGTTCACTCACGACTGCGTGGCCACACACAGCTCCAACACCATCGTGAAGTTTGCTGACGACACGACCGTCATCGGCCAGATCACAGACGATGACGAGACGGCGTACAGAGAGGAGGTCGAAAACCTGACATCTTGGTGCCAGGAGAACAACCTCCATCTCAACATCAGCAAAACAAAGGAGCTGATTGTGGACTACAGGAAGCAGCAGGGAGAGGGACACGCCCCCATCGCCATCAATGGGACTACGGTGGAGAGAGTCAGCAGCTTCAGGTTCCTTGGGGTCCACATCACTGAGGACCTGACATGGTCTCTTCACACCACCACCATCACCAAGAAAGCTCGACAGCGGCTCTTCTTCCTCCGCAGGCTGAGGAGGTTCAAAATGGATTCCAGGATACTCTGCAACTTCTACAGGTGCACCATAGAGAGTATCCTGACCTTCTACAGGTGCACCATAGAGAGCATCCTGACCTTCCACAGGTGCACCATAGAGAGTATCCTGACCTTCCACAGGTGCACCATAGAGAGGATCCTGACCTTCTACAGGTGCACCATAGAGAGCATCCTGACCTTCTACAGGTGCACCATAGAGAGTATCCTGACCTTCTACAGGTGCACCATAGAGAGCATCCTGACCTTCTACAGGTGCACCATAGAGAGCATCCTGACCTTCTACAGGTGCACCATAGAGAGCATCCTGACCTTCTACAGGTGCACCATAGAGAGTATCCTGACCTTCTACAGGTGCACCATAGAGAGGATCCTGACCTTCTACAGGTGCACCATAGAGAGGATCCTGACCTTCTACAGGTGCACGATAGAGAGTATCCTCACTGGCAGCATGACGGCCTGGTACGGCAGCTGCACCGACCTCGATCGTAAGGCTTTACAGAGGGTGGTGAAAACTGCACAGCACATCACCAGGACGGAGCTGCCATCCATGGAGGACCTTTACTCCCAGCGGCTCAGGAAGAAATCACTACGGATTATCAAAGACCCCCATCACCCCAGCCACAAACTGTTCAGTCTGTTGCCGTCTGGCAGACGTTACCGCAGCATCCTGGCAAGGACAAGAACATTCGGAGACAGTTTCTTCCCGCGGGCAGTGAGACTGTTAAAAAATTGAACTGTTGAAACAACTTCAAAACATTCAACTGCTACTCAGTAATATGTATCTAATACCTAATATATATATATATCATTCCAATAACTTGTATATAGACTCATACTGCACTATTCCACATCATCACTTTATTTTATAACTATTTTGCTTTTTGTATTGCTCTTGCTCTTATTGTTATTATGTTATTATGTTGCATTGTTGGAGAAGCCTGTGACATAAGATTTTCAACTACATAATTACTCTGTAGCTATGTCAGATTGATAATAAAGAACCTTGAACCTTGAACCTTGAACACACACACACACAGTACCGATTTCTGCTTTCTTTCCACAGGTGAATGTTTAAGATATATCCTGCAGGCATACTTTCATAAACATTACCACAAACTTGAGCTCAGTTATGACCTTCTCTAGTCTAATAAATGGTGATATTGACTGTATATTAAAGGTCACCTATCGTGAAAAATAAAATGCACTTTCTGATGTCTTCTATACATAAAGATGTGTCCCCGTTGTCTCAGGAGACTCACAAAGTGTCAGAAAACAAAACCCTCTCTCTTTTCCTCCGTACCCAAATCTCTAAAAACGGGGCTACAACGGAGCTGATCCAGATTTGCCTCCGATATTACGTAATATCTGAAATGTGGGCGGGCTTTACACCCACGGCCCTATCAGAAACGTTGCTGTCAGAAACAATGAGATGTGTTTTGGGCGTACTATGGTCTTTGTTTACATTAGCATCGCTAACACTCAGAGCTAACCTGTACTGGAGAGAGTATGTGTAAAGAAGCAGGAAATAAAAAGGAACTCACCTTGTGGTAAACCTGAGAGAGAAAAAGAGCTTGAGCTCCGTATTGTTTCAGAAATAATCCTTGATGTGGTTTGGAACATGATATGAAGTTTAATCACGGCAGCATTAAGCTGAGAATCTAAATGAATTTTTTAGGGTTAGGGTTATTTATTTACAGACCCAGAATCAGCACTTTAGTAACAGGCTGAAATAGAGGGGGATGAAGCTAGCATGATCTGTTTGTTATTCTGAGCAAAACACTTCATAGACATGTTTTGTATATATCTGAGACCTATAATATATGCCTAAAAATAGTATAATAAGAGACCTTTGAGTGTCAGAATGAATAAATGAGTATATTTTACCCGGTGGAGCGCAGGCTGCCTCCGAGGCTCTTCAGTTTCTCCAGCCTTCGGTTCCAGACCTCCAGCTCTTTGATCCGAGTGTCCAGGTTGTCTGTGAGTTTTGAAAGCTGCTGCACCGCGCCCACGTTCTCCATGAAGATCTGCTCCTGCAGGAGAGGACCAGGAAGTACAGATTTATACACATTCCTTGGTAACTGCACAAAGAAACCACTTTATATCAGTTTCCTTTGAGATACTGCCTGGAACAAAGATTACAAAACTTATTTCAAATTTACAAATGGGTTTCTACTACTAGGTGTTTTTTGATTTGTAAAACATTTAACATTTATCTGTACAATTCAAGCACGTATTTACAGAGTACGTTTTGAGTTTTTGCAAATGGCTTTCTATCTTTTTGTGAGTATGACATTATATTGCACATTATTAAAAAATAAATCTGGAGAAATCATTTTAAGGGAACTATTATTCTCTCACTCAAAAAATAGATTGATTAAACTAAAATAAAACTATCAGAAAGCTAGGTAAAATCCTGTTTGTAATAACTTTGAACATATGAAATAAATGTTTGCTATTTGTTGAAGTCAAATGTTGAATTTCATAACAACACTGAGTAAAAGTAAATCAAGGAGAGGAGATTACTTTGTCCACCATGAGGAAGTTGTGGATCTTCTCTCCGTCAGAACAGGAAACGTCTCCGACCTCGGTCACCGCTGAAGGCAGCAGCTCCTTCACCTCCTGAGCTATCATCCCTGAAACGTCATCATCTCGTGTTAAAGTTACTCACCTGCAGTTTGAATAGTATTAAAACGTCATGATACTGTTGTCACCTGTCTGGTGGGTGTGGTCTATTCCCATGTTGGAGGCAAACTCGGGTTTATAATCAAACTCAACGATCCTCATCTGAGTGATTCTCCTCAGCTGCTGCTCAGAGTCGACCTGACGAACAAACAGAAGACAAATCTTTAGGAACTGATGATTCAATGCAGTCAGAAAACGACCTTTAGGTCACGGTCACTAGTAAGGTATGTTACGTATGATGACTTTTTCAAAAGTCAATAATCTTAAAATATAGACGGATTTGGATCGGCCCAATTGAATGGGTTCTTTATCGACTCATGCTCCACCACGTTTCATGAGAATTAGTCAAGTAGTTATTCCGTAACATTTCTGGAAACAAGTAGATTGCATGATATTTTCTTCATTAAAGGTCACCTGCAAAATCCTCTTCTTCATGTCTCTTCTTCATCAACATGTGTCCCCTCTTCTTCATGTCTCTTCTATATCAACATGTGTCCCCTCTTCTTCATGTCTCTTCTTCATCACCATGTGTCCCCTCTTCTTCATCAACATGTGTCCCCTCTTCTTCATGTCTCTTCTACATCAACATGTGTCCCCTCTTCTTCATGTCTCTTCTTCATCAACATGTGTCCCCTCTTCTTCATGTCTCTTCTACATCAACATGTGTCCCCTCTTCTTCATGTCTCTTCTACATTAACATGTGTCCCCTCTTCTTCATGTCTCTTCTACATCAACATGTGTCCCCTCTTCTTCATGTCTCTTCTACATTAACATGTGTCCCCTCTTCTTCATGCCTCTTCTACATTAACATGTGTCCCCTCTTCTTCATGTCTCTTCTACATCAACATGTGTCCCCTCTTCTTCATGTCTCTTCTACATCAACATGTGTCCCCTCTTCTTCATGTCTCTTCTACATCAACATGTGTCCCCTCTTCTTCATGTCTCTTCTACATTAACATGTGTCCCCTCTTCTTCATGTCTCTTCTACATCAACATGTGTCCCCTCTTCTTCATGTCTCTTCTACATTAACATGTGTCCCCTCTTCTTCATGTCTCTTCTACATTAACATGTGTCCCCTCTTCTTCATGTCTCTTCTACATCACCATGTGTCCCCTCTTCTTCATGTCTCTTCTACATTAACATGTGTCCCCTCTTCTTCATGCCTCTTCTACATTAACATGTGTCCCCTCTTCTTCATGTCTCTTCTACATCAACATGTGTCCCCTCTTCTTCATGTCTCTTCTACATCAACATGTGTCCCCTCTTCTTCATGTCTCTTCTACATTAACATGTGTCCCCTCTTCTTCATGTCTCTTCTACATTAACATGTGTCCCCTCTTCTTCATGTCTCTTCTACATTAACATGTGTCCCCTCTTCTTCATGTCTCTTCTACATCAACATGTGTCCCCTCTTCTTCATGTCTCTTCTACATTAACATGTGTCCCCTCTTCTTCATGTCTCTTCTACATTAACATGTGTCCCCTCTTCTTCATGTCTCTTCTACATCACCATGTGTCCCCTCTTCTTCATGTCTCTTCTACATTAACATGTGTCCACACCGCAGTACTTTTCCCACTTTAGTTCCGATATAGTTCCGAAATGTCGCGTTCACACCAAAAAGGTTCCTATGTCTGATTGGCTGGGCGGATTGCAAACCACGCCCCGTAAAACTCCCAAAATGTTTTGTGAAGCCGCCATTTTATTATCCTCGCATTAGCATTATTAGCATTAGCATTAGCCCAGCGCACAAACGCAGAGAGACTAACTTATGGCAACACAAAATAAAACATGGGAGCGGTGGAGATGAGGAGGTGTCGGCGTTCTGGCGATTTACTGGGAAGGCTTCAGTAGAAGCTGCTGGGAGTCCCAGCAGCTTCTACTGAAGCTTTCCCCAACTCCGGGGACTTCCGGCCGGGGACTCCGGGTGGCAGTATACGCCGTGAAGTGGTTTGTGGCCTGCCAGTAAACCCAAAGCAGAAGAAGAAGAAGTGACATCAGCGGCTTCATTTGCCTAATCCTCCCCCAGGGACTTATTCCGGTGTGAACGCGATCTGTACTTAGTTCATGAGAACTAAAGAGTTCTGATGAACCTTTGTGGGAAAAGTACTGCGGTGTGAAAGCGCCTATTGAGCTCTTTGTAACCAAATGTCTCTCAGAGGGGCGTGGGGAGGGGCTCCTTATTTTCATCTAAAGTAACAGACAGAGAATCAGCACTTTGGAAACAGGGCTGAAACAGAGGGGATTATGGGTAATGCTGCAATGATCTGTTTGGTGTTTCAGCCAATCAGAGACAGGCTCTGGATATATCTGAGACCTGTGATATATTGATGAGAAACAGTATAATAGGAGACCTTTAAGTTGTCTGTCCTTGTCTCACCTCCTGAATGTTCTCCTTGGCGCGGCGGTCTGACGGCTGCATCACGGCTCCCATCACTTTGGCGTTCCCACAGACGACTAACGCCTCATCGGGGGAATCTGTGTTGATGCCCACTCGACCGTGACAAACTAAAGCGTCCTGAAAACCCCCCCGCTGCCACAGGGCTTCTCCATCCATCTCAAACTGACCCGGGTTAGAGGCCTGCGGAGGGGAATATATTCAGGTCAGAGGTGGGAAGTAGTGGAGTACAAATACTTCGTTACTGTACTTAAGTACATGTTTCTGGTCTCAGTACTTTACTCCACTACTTATTTTTCTGACGACTTTTTACTTTGACTTCTTACATTTTGAACACAAATACCTGTACTTTCTACTTCTTACATTTTGAACACAAATACCTGTACTTTCTACTTCTTACATGTTGAACACAAATACCTGTACTTTCTACTTCTTACATGTTGAACCCAAATACCTGTACTTTCTACTTCTTACATGTTGAACACAAATACCTGTACTTTCTACTTCTTACATGTTGAACACAAATACCTGTACTTTCTACTTCTTACATGTTGAACACAAATACCTGTACTTTCTACTTCTTACATGTTGAACCCAAATACCTGTACTTTCTACTTCTTACATGTTGAACACAAATACCTGTACTTTCTACTTCTTACATGTTGAACACAAATACCTGTACTTTCTACTTCTTACATGTTGAACCCAAATACCTGTACTTTCTACTTCTTACATGTTGAACACAAATACCTGTACTTTCTACTTCTTACATGTTGAACACAAATACCTGTACTTTCTACTTCTTACATGTTGAACACAAATACCTGTACTTTCTACTTCTTACATGTTGAACCCAAATACCTGTACTTTCTACTTCTTACATGTTGAACACAAATACCTGTACTTTCTACTTCTTACATGTTGAACTCAAATACCTGTACTTTCTACTTCTTACATGTTGAACACAAATACCTGTACTTTCTACTTCTCACATGTTGAACACAAATACCTGTACTTTCTACTTCTTACATTTTGAACACCAATACCTGTACTTTCTACTTCTTACATTTTGAACACCAATACCTGTACTTTCTACTTCTTACATGTTGAACACAAATACCTGTACTTTCTACTTCTTACATGTTGAACACAAATACCTGTACTTTCTACTTCTCACATGTTGAACACAAATACCTGTACTTTCTACTTCTTACATGTTGAACACAAATACCTGTACTTTCTACTTCTCACATTTTGAACACTAATACCTGTACTTTCTACTTCTTACATGTTGAACACAAATACCTGTACTTTCTACTTCTTACATGTTGAACTCAAATACCTGTACTTTCTACTTCTTACATGTTGAACACAAATACCTGTACTTTCTACTTCTTACATGTTGAACACAAATACCTGTACTTTCTACTTCTTACATGTTGAACACAAATACCTGTACTTTCTACTTCTCACATGTTGAACACAAATACCTGTACTTTCTACTTCTTACATTTTGAACACTAATACCTGTACTTTCTACTTCTTACATGTTGAACACAAATACCTGTACTTTCTACTTCTTACATGTTGAACTCAAATACCTGTACTTTCTACTTCTTACATGTTGAACTCAAATACCTGTACTTTCTACTTCTTACATGTTGAACACAAATACCTGTACTTTCTACTTCTTACATGTTGAACTCAAATACCTGTACTTTCTACTTCTCACATGTTGAACACAAATACCTGTACTTTCTACTTCTTACATGTTGAACTCAAATACCTGTACTTTCTACTTCTTACATGTTGAACACAAATACCTGTACTTTCTACTTCTTACATGTTGAACTCAAATACCTGTACTTTCTACTTCTTACATGTTGAACACTAATACCTGTACTTTCTACTTCTTACATGTTGAACACAAATACCTGTACTTTCTACTTCTTACATGTTGAACTCAAATACCTGTACTTTCTACTTCTTACATGTTGAACTCAAATACCTGTACTTTCTACTTCTTACATGTTGAACACAAATACCTGTACTTTCTACTTCTTACATGTTGAACTCAAATACCTGTACTTTCTACTTCTCACATGTTGAACACAAATACCTGTACTTTCTACTTCTTACATGTTGAACTCAAATACCTGTACTTTCTACTTCTTACATGTTGAACACAAATACCTGTACTTTCTACTTCTTACATGTTGAACTCAAATACCTGTACTTTCTACTTCTTACATGTTGAACACTAATACCTGTACTTTCTACTTCTTACATGTTGAACACAAATACCTGTACTTTCTACTTCTTACATGTTGAACACAAATACCTGTACTTTCTACTTCTTACATGTTGAACCCAAATACCTGTACTTTCTACTTCTTACATGTTGAACACAAATACCTGTACTTTCTACTTCTTACATGTTGAACACAAATACCTGTACTTTCTACTTCTCACATTTCCCAAACCGGCTGGTTCCTTTAGTTTGAATGTGTGTTTGGTGGCGTGATCATTATTATTTAGAGTCATTGCGTGCCTATTGATTTGAACACGATCCGTGTATCCATCATTTCCTGGTCTTCTCTAAAGAAGAGGGACCAATGAAAACGTTGTCATGTTGCCGTTGTTCAGCATGGAAACATTCATTAGCTAACAATGACATTATTGTTCTATTAATATAAAGGGAGGTCAGGTACTCTTTAAAACAGCTGCTAGTTATGGGTACTTTTTACTGAAGTACATTTCAAAGCCCATACTTCTTTACTTTTACCAGAGTATTTTTAAACACGAGTTTATGTACTTCTACTTGAGTAAAGGATGTGTGTACTTTTGCCATCTCTGGGCCCGCAAGAGCTCTGAAAGAATAAAATAAGTTTATTATACGGTTACATGCCGCTTTACAGAAGCACGTTGCCCATAAACAACAAACAAATGTCCCACAATGCATCTCATTTTATGACATGAGCACTGAAGAGACTTTAAATGATTTGCCCTAGACTTCTGCTTTCAGACGTAGTTAATCATGAAGTTATTACCCTATCAGATAATCATCCAACGCAGAGGCAATCATGTAATATAATACATTATTTTATTTATATTATATATATATATGTATATTTTGATATAGTCTTAAAGTGACAACCGGCCCTTTGAGTGCAACCATAATGCTGATGTGGCCCGAGATGAAATGTATTTATTGTATTGGTTTATTCCACACATGGCAGTTATTTTAAAACAAAACATGTACACTTGTTTTCTCATTGACCTGCCTCTTCTTACAACAAAAAATGAAATAACCATAAAAAGTCAAATAAAAGCAATATTCTTTCATTTGCTTACAAATACTGAAACATAAAACCAGAACACAATCAAAAGTCAACTTCACACTGTCTAATTACGCTTTCTTTATACATTTTCTTAAACATAAAAATGTTCTCACAGCCCTTTAAATCATTCGGCAAAGAATTCCACTTCTTTACTCAAGAGACACTCGTCTGCTTTAAAGTAGTACGTGCAAACTGATGCTTAACATTACATTTCCTCCTGTAGCTTCTCACCCCTGGTTTAAGGCGTGTTTTCTTACCCTGACGATGATTTTCTCGGACATTAAAGCCGTGAGGAGGAAGGTTTCTTCTCCTCTCACTGCAGCGTAGAGACCAACCACCATCTGGAAATATCTAAAGACAAACTCAATGAGTACGTCGCTCTGACAGTTCGTGCATTCATTAATCCACAAAGTCACTAACTCTCACACCTCTGGTCAGCGTTGGGTTTTCCTTTCTTCCTCATGTTGTTGGACGTCGTCTCGCTAAAGTGAAGTCGGCCGAGCGTTACCTTTGTGATTTTACCGCTAGGAAGACTGACCCTGGAGGAAGAGCATTTATTTCATACATTTTATTGAGTTTATCTTAATGCATAACGTAAAGAATGCTATCAACAAACAATATCAAATTCCAAAACACTAGCAGGTTGCTATCCAAATGTATTGTACATCTTGACCGAATATCTATAACAAGTGAAATGAATGCTCGTTCCATCAAGCACCCTTGAGGGGTTTTGGAGTGAATTTGGACTAATAGCTGGTGCATGTGACCATGGTAGGGATTCTTCCTCCGTTATCTACCTGACGGGATGAAAAGCCTTCTTGCTCCGGTCCGGCTGCGACTGCTCGATCGTCACCTGGTGGCTCGGAGACTCCAGCTGAGTGAGATATATATATATTTTGTGTCTATTCTACAGTACTGCAATATTACCTGGTCAGCGATGGCAAAAGTATACACATCCTTTACTCAAGTTGAAGTACAGATACTCGTGTTTAAAAATACTCTGGTAAAAGTAGAAGTACTGACTAAACTTCTTGACTCAAGTCAAAGTAAAGAGGGCTTTGAAATGTACTTCAGTAAAAAGTACCCATAACTAGCAGCTGTTTTAAAGAGTACCTGACCTCCCTTTATATTAATAGAACAATAATGTCATTGTTAGCTAATGAATGTTTCCATGCTGAACAACGGCAACATGACAACGTTTTCATTGGTCCCTCTTCTTTAGAGAAGACCAGGAAATGATGGATACACGGATCGTGTTCAAATCAATAGGCACGCAATGACTCTAAATAATAATGATCACGCCACCAAACACACATTCAAACTAATGTAAAGTTTAAACACGAGTATCTGTACTTCTACTTGAGTAAAGGATGTGTGTACTTTTGCCGTCTCTGGCTAAATCTACCATAAGGTTGAAGAGTTTTGGTACCTACCTTGATCCCGAACACTTTTATCTGGAAGTGATCGACGGGCTGCGGGCCGCTGGGCGTTCGGACGAATTGCGGCTCCGCGGCCACGCCGATGTGAACCGTGACCTGGAAATGATTCTTCTTTTGGCAAACGAAGGACTCATCAACTCCAGAAAAGTTGAAGCCTTTATCTGTGTCGACGTGGTAGGCAGGAGGACACCTAGAGGAAGCAAAGGTTTAAAGATTCTTTTCGAAAAATCTCACTCGTCACAAAATTCAGACTTTTTCTAAAAATCTCAAAATTCTGGCTTTTTTCTCAACATTCTGACTTTTTCACCAAATCTCAAAATTCCGACCCTTTCTCAAAATTCTGACTTTTTCTCAAAATTCTGTTTTTTTTCACAAAATTCTGACTTTTTTCTCAAAATTCTGGCTTTTTCACAAAATTCTGACTTTTTCTCAAAATTCTGACTTTTTTCTCAACATTCTGACTTTTCCACCAAATTTCAAAATTCCGACCTTTTCTCAAAATTCTGACTTTTTCAAAAAATTCTGGTTTTTTTTCACAAAATTCTGACTTTTTCACCAAATCTCAAAATTCTGACATTTTCTCAGAATTCTGACTTTTTCACCAAATTTCTGACATTTTCTCAAAATTCTGGCTTTTTTCTCAAAATTCTGGCTTTTTCTCAAGATGTTCCCAACACATTCCCACCCTCAGAATTTTATATTTAAACACTAATTGTTGCTTCTCTACTCACAGTGTTTGGTAGCTGTTGTCGTACAAAGCGCTCCAATGTTCTGGCCGGTACTGATCCCAGGTCAGAAGTTGATAGGATCCTAAAGTGTTTCCTAAACTACCTCCTTGACTCCCGTCTCCTTCACTAGACACCTCTATTCCCACCGATGGTTCCTCGCTCTCAGATCTCCTCCTCTTCTTACTGTCCGGGGAGCTAGAGGAAATGTGATAATTGTCCATAAATTGTTGACCACACAAGATCATTTTTAGTTTTCTTGAAAGGGTTATCAACAGTCTCTCTGAAGCTGGGGCCGTCTTTATTTTTGGTACAACTGGAAGGCTCCATTGCTAATGATAAAGAAGTTTCAATGTTTACATTCTTCACAAGCAAGAGTAAATGTGCATTGACGTTGTGCAATCACATTATTTAATCCTCACCAATCCTTCTACTTGATTTGTATGACCTTTGCATACTGTCAAGCCATCTGTACCTAGAAATGTGATTTTGATTCTGACCTCTGTTTTTCACTTTGTACCGTCGGCCCCTGACGGGTTTTATTCCAGCATACCCTTCAGACCAAACCAACAAAACCTCAGACACTTCCTACGTAAATGGGACTTCATTTGGTCTGAATGCACTCTGGAGGATACTCGACTTTTGAGCACCTTGATAGACAATCGTACATTTGAAATTCCTGTTTTAAGACATATTTCTGCAGCCTGTCACACACACATATAAACAATGTCCTTCCTGTAATTTCTAGGTTTGAGTAGTTTGTAAGAAGAACCCAAGTTTGTAGATTTGCCTTACTCTCTAATGCTGGCTTGTTTCTATTTTGTGATGTTTACATTTTAGAATTGTTTTATTTCTACTCTTTTAATTTGTTATTATCTGCAATGCCTTGTTTTGTTTTAGCCTGCTGCAACACAAATGTTTTCCCAATTAATAAAGTATATCTGGCGGCTATATTCCCTTTGAGTACGGCCGCTCTGAGGCTAAACTTCGCCCATTGATGTGACGCGTTTAAATAATAAAGTCTGTACTGAACTCGACGTTTTAAGGATATTTAATATTTTAAATCAAAACAATAAACAAACAGAATCATACGGTCAACCAAAGATATCAGAGCTCACCCCCATCGTCATGCTACTAAACCTCCACACACACCATGAACCACACCATGTGTCAATCACCGGAAACAACCCATTCCAAGTGTGTGTGGTGTTAACACATAATGAAGATAATATAACTCTAAACACAGGCTCCCAACAGGTACCTACAGAACATCTTATCTTCAGTGACAGGTTTCACTCACCAGGTTTGGATCATGGAGGAGGATCCCAGCAGACAGTCTGAAGGAACCAGGGGAACATTTGGCCCCAGACCAGAACCAGGGCATGTTCTAGTGAAGCTGTTTGAGGATGATGGAACTGGAGGAGAAGGTGGTGTTGCGGGGGTGTAAACCTGCGAGATGCTCTCTGGACTCAGGTAGTGTGTGTGTGGGTGGTGTGTGTGAAGGTGTGTGTGCTGGTGTGTGTGTGCAGGTGAGGAACCAGGCTTGATGAAAGTGTTTGTGAGGCCCAGATGTCGCAGTTGTTCGTGGGTCAGGAGGTCGTGGGGGTCTCGATCCTTAAAGCGACAGGAAGACGAGGGGGCGGGGCTTTGTGTTTGCTGGAACAGCTCCTGATTGGTCTGCTGGTTGGACAAATAGGGCGACTTGTAGTGGAATTCTGCAACGAAGGGAAATACAGAATGTGAGACTTGTAAATCGTCAACAAATGAAATGTTGAAGAACTGTTTCCATCCACGACAGTTATGGCAGTATTAGGAGTTGGGACCTCACACCATTGCACAAGAAGGATTGCATTGAAAGAGTACTATTTAGACACAAATGTGGAAAAACACTGGAGGAAACGTTGCAAATATGACTTTTTGATGAACTTAGGGGTAGGGTTACCCTAACCCCATCGAAACACCATTTTTTCCACCCTATGCCAAACGTAAAATCGTCATCATCATTTAAGGTCATATCTTGTCCAGAAATCAATTAGTTTGAAAGAAGTTGTACCTGGTATCTGTGGGGGGGAACAGGCCTCAGAGCTGGAGTCAGGAGGAGACTCAGGGAGCATGCTGGGAAATAACACAGAAATGTAATAAACGGTCAGAACATTTACATATATATCTGATAACCTAGTGGTCAGTCGGGACTGGATCCAATTCATTTCATTGATTCTAGTTGATTTTTGTTGCATTTTGTAATCATGTCTCTGGTTGCTAGTATTTTTCCATTCTCAATTCTATATATATTTCTTTTAATGCACGTCAGAAAGTAGTTTTAGTGTTAAATAAAGTGTTTTTAGTGGGATTTCCCTGCTGTGCAGATTGTTAGGTATTTACAACCTTCACTCAGCTGATAACCGACTGTGTCAAGGCCGTTTCTGTGTGTTACATCACTGGATGTGTGTGTGTGTGTGTGTGTGTGTGTGTGTGTGTGTGTGTGTGTGTGTGTGTGTGTGTGTGTGTGTGTGTGTGTGTGTGTGTGTGTGTGTGTGTGTGTGTGTGTGTGTGTGTCTTACAAGTTGTTGGGGTCCATGTCATTGCTGAGGTACTGCTCCAGGATGCTCGTATCCACGGCAACAGAACTGTCCAACACACCACTGACATCCTGACCTACACACACACACACACACACACACACACACACACACACACACACACACACACACACACACACACACACACAGTGGTCATGCTGTGTTTGGTTGTCATTAAGGAGCACATGAATGATTCTTTAACAGATGATATAATGAGACTCACCGCTGAAGAACTGCTGCAGAGCTTCGTTCTCTCCGATCACCTGCAGCCGAGGCTCCATGCTGCTGGGAGGACACACACACACACACACACACACACACACACACACACACACACACACACACACACACACACACACACATATATTCAACGTTAAAGGTCTCCTATTATACTGTGTTTCATCAATATATCACAGGTCTCAGATATATCCAGAGCCTGTCTCTGATTGGCTGAAACACCAAACAGATCATCGCAGCATTACCCATAATCCCCTCTGTTTCAGCTCTGTTTAAAATAAATAAATAAATAAAATAAGGAGCCCCTCCCCACGCCCCTCTGAGAGATATTTGGTTACAAAGAACTCAAAGGTGCTCTAGGAGGAGATTCAGGTGATAAGGGGGGGGGGGGGGGGGTTACCTTGGTTGCTGATTGGCTAATGGTTACACAAGACAAGACATCGTTATGACATCAAGTGGCCAAAATCTGATCAGCTCATTTTCAGACAGGTTTTATAGAAATGGATCAAAAAGAGAGAAAATCTTTGTTCCTGAAACTTTCAGAGTCTCTTTCCACAGAGGGGACACATGTTGATGTAGAAGAGACATGAAGAAGAGGGGACACATGTTGATGTAGAAGAGACATGAAGAAGAGGGGACACATGTTGATGTAGAAGAGACATGAAGAAGAGGGGACACATGTTGATGTAGAAGAGACATGAAGAAGAGGGGACACATGTTGATGTAGAAGAGACATGAAGAAGAGGGGACACATGTTGATGAAGAAGAGACATGAAGAAGAGGGGACACATGTTGATGAAGAAGAGACATGAAGAAGAGGGGACACATGTTGATGAAGAAGAGACATGAAGAAGAGGGGACACATGTTGATGAAGAAGAGACATGAAGAAGAGGGGACACATGTTGATGAAGAAGAGACATGAAGAAGAGGGGACACATGTTGATGTAGAAGAGACATGAAGAAGAGGGGACACATGTTGATGAAGAAGAGACATGAAGAAGAGGGGACACATGTTGATGAAGAAGAGACATGAAGAAGAGGGGACACATGTTGATGAAGAAGAGACATGAAGAAGAGGGGACACATGTTGATGTAGAAGAGACATGAAGAAGAGGGGACACATGTTGATGAAGAAGAGACATGAAGAAGAGGGGACACATGTTGATGAAGAAGAGACATGAAGAAGAGGGGACACATATTGATGAAGAAGAGACATGAAGAAGAGGGGACACATGTTGATGTAGAAGAGACATGAAGAAGAGGGGACACATGTTGATTGTAGAAGAGACATGAAGAAGAGGGAGGGGACACATGTTTGAAGAAGAAGAGACATGAAAGAAGAGGGGACACATGTTGATGTAGAAGAGACATGAAGAAGAGGGGACACATGTTGATGAAGAAGAGACATGAAGAAGAGGGGACACATGTTGATGAAGAAGAGACATGAAGAAGAGGGGACACATGTTGATGAAGAAGAGACATGAAGAAGAGGGGACACATGTTGATGAAGAAGAGACATGAAGAAGAGGGGACACATGTTGATGTAGAAGAGACATGAAGAAGAGGGGACACATGTTGATGAAGAAGAGACATGAAGAAGAGGGGACACATGTTGATGAAGAAGAGACATGAAGAAGAGGGGACACATGTTGATGAAGAAGAGACATGAAGAAGAGGGGACACATGTTGATGTAGAAGAGACATGAAGAAGAGGGGACACATGTTGATGTAGAAGAGACATGAAGAAGAGGGGACACATGTTGATGTAGAAGAGACATGAAGAAGAGGGGACACATGTTGATGAAGAAGAGGGGACACATGTTGATGTAGAAGAGACATGAAGAAGAGGGGACACATGTTGATGTAGAAGAGACATGAAGAAGAGGGGACACATGTTGATGAAGAAGAGGGGACACATGTTGATGTAGAAGAGACATGAAGAAGAGGGGACACATGTTGATGAAGAAGAGGGGACACATGTTGATGAAGAAGAGACATGAAGAAGAGGGGACACATGGTGATGTAGAAGAGACATGATGAAGAGGGGACACATGTTGATGTAGAAGAGACGTGAAGAAGAGGGGACACATGTTGATGTAGAAGAGACATGAAGAAGAGGGGACACATGTTGATGAAGAAGAGACATGAAGAAGAGGGGACACATGTTGATGAAGAAGAGACATGAAGAAGAGGGGACACATGTTGATGTAGAAGAGACATGAAGAAGAGGGGACACATGTTGATGAAGAAGAGACATGAAGAAGAGGGGACACATGTTGATGAAGAAGAGACATGAAAGAAGAGGGGACACATGTTGATGTAGAAGAGACATGAAGAAGAGGGGACACATGTTGATGAAGAAGAGACATGAAGAAGAGGGGACACATGTTGATGTAGAAGAGACATGAAGAAGAGGGGACACATGTTGATGAAGAAGAGACATGAAGAAGAGGGGGACACATGTTGATGTAGAAGAGACATGAAGAAGAGGGGACACATGTTGATGTAGAAGAGACATGAAGAAGAGGGGACACATGTTGATGTAGAAGAGACATGAAGAAGAGGGGACACATGTTGATGTAGAAGAGACATGAAGAAGAGGGGACACATGTTGATGAAGAAGAGGGGACACATGTTGATGTAGAAGAGACATGAAGAAGAGGGGACACATGTTGATGTAGAAGAGACATGAAGAAGAGGGGACACATGTTGATGAAGAAGAGGGGACACATGTTGATGTAGAAGAGACATGAAGAAGAGGGGACACATGTTGATGTAGAAGAGACATGAAGAAGAGGGGACACATGGTGATGTAGAAGAGACATGATGAAGAGGGGACACATGTTGATGTAGAAGAGACGTGAAGAAGAGGGGACACATGTTGATGTAGAAGAGACATGAAGAAGAGGGGACACATGTTGATGAAGAAGAGACATGAAGAAGAGGGGACACATGTTGATGAAGAAGAGACATGAAGAAGAGGGGACACATGTTGATGTAGAAGAGACATGAAGAAGAGGGGACACATGTTGATGAAGAAGAGACATGAAGAAGAGGGGACACATGTTGATGTAGAAGAGACATGAAGAAGAGGGGACACATGTTGATGAAGAAGAGACATGAAGAAGAGGGGACACTGTTGATGTAGAAGAGACATGAAGAAGAGGGGACACATGTTGATGAAGAAGAGACATGAAGAAGAGGGGACACATGTTGATGTAGAAGAGACATGAAGAAGAGGGGACACATGTTGATGTAAGAAGAGACATGAAGAAGAGGGGACACATGTTGATGAAGAAGAGACATGAAGAAGAGGGGACACATGTTGATGTAGAAGAGACATGAAGAAGAGGGGACACATGTTGATGTAGAAAGAGACATGAAGAAGAGGGGACACATGTTGATGAAGAAGAGACATGAAGAAGAGGGGACACATGTTGATGTAGAAGAGACATGAAGAAGAGGGGACACATGTTGATGTAGAAGAGACATGAAGAAGAGGGGACACATGTTGATGAAGAAGAGACATGAAGAAGAGGGGACACATGTTGATGTAGAAGAGACATGAAGAAGAGGGGACACATGTTGATGTAGAAGAGAATGAAGAAGAGGGGACACATGTTGATGTAGAAGAGACATGAAGAAGAGGGGACACATGTTGATGTAGAAGAGACATGAAGAAGAGGGGACACATGTTGATGTAGAAGAGACATGAAGAAGAAGATTTTGCATAATAGGTCACCTTTAAGACACTACAGGCGAATAGGGGGATCTTTTAACTTAAAGATATCAGCAAGACATTTCTCCAGTTAATTACTTACATTTAGACAACTGTTTTTTGTATTAGAAGTTTTCTGAAATAGCATGTTTAAAGACACTTTTACTGACCCTATTTTGTTTCTTTAAAATACAAATAATGAGTTTATCTGACTGAAACGTCTCCACTGGACTCCTTCCAGAACACGGTGACATCACTATAGAACACTTGCGCTTATATTGGCTAGCGCTCCAACACATTGTACGTGATAGGCTAAGGGGCGGGACATCTCTAAGCTGGTTGACCAATCACAACAGCCGGCCAGCTAACCAATCAGAGCAGACTGGGCTCTGGTTTCAGACAGAGGGTGAAAAGAGGTGCTGCAGCTTTCTGAACATTAAAGCATGGAGACATGTCCCAGTAGAGACACTACATACTGATATACACCTGAACATCAGCAGGAGAGGACTCTTTAAAGTAGAGACACTACATACTGATATACACCTGAACATCAGCAGGAGAGGACTCTTTAAAGTAGAGACACTACATACTGATATACACCTGAACATCAGCAGGAGAGGACTCTTTAAAGTAGAGACACTACATACTGATATACACCTGAACATCAGCAGGAGAGGACTCTTTAAAGTAGAGACACTACATACTGATATACACCTGAACATCAGCAGGAGAGGACTCTTTAAAGTAGAGACACTACATACTGATATACACCTGAACATCAGCAGGAGAGGACTCTTTAAAGTAGAGACACTACATACTGATATACACCTGAACATCAGCAGGAGAGGACTCTTTAAAGTAGAGACACTACATACTGATATACACCTGAACATCAGCAGGAGAGGACTCTTTAAAGTAGAGACACTACATACTGATATACACCTGAACATCAGCAGGAGAGGACTCTTTAAAGTAGAGACACTACATACTGATATACACCTGAACATCAGCAGGAGAGGACTCTTTAAAGTAGAGACACTACATACTGATATACACCTGAACATCAGCAGGAGAGGACTCTTTAAAGTAGAGACACTACATACTGATATACACCTGAACATCAGCAGGAGAGGACTCTTTAAAGTAGAGACACTACATACTGATATACACCTGAACATCAGCAGGAGAGGACTCTTTAAAGTAGAGACACTACATACTGATATACACCTGAACATCAGCAGGAGAGGACTCTTTAAACTAGAGACACTACATACTGATATACACCTGAACATCAGCAAGAGAGGACTCTTTAAAGTAGAGACACTACATACTGATATACACCTGAACATCAGCAGGAGAGGACTCTTTAAAGTAGAGACACTACATACTGATATACACCTGAACATCAGCAGGAGAGGACTCTTTAAAGTAGACACACTACATACTGATATACACCTGAACATCAGCAGGAGAGGACTCTTTAAAGTAGAGACACTACATACTGATATACACCTGAACATCAGCAGGAGAGGACTCTTTAAAGTAGAGACACTACATACTGATATACACCTGAACATCAGCAGGAGAGGACTCTTTAAAGTAGAGACACTACTTACTGATATACACCTGAACATCAGCAGGAGAGGACTCTTTAAAGTAGAGGCACTATATACTGATATACACCTGAACATCAGCAGGAGAGGACTCTTTAAAGTAGAGACACTACATACTGATATACACCTGAACATCAGCAGGAGGGGACTCTTTAAAGTAGAGAGACTGCATACTGATAAACACCTGAACATCAGCAGGAGGGGACTCTTTAAAGTAGAGACACTACATACTGATATACACCTGAACATCAGCAGGAGGGGACTCTTTAAAGTAGAGACACTACATACTGACATACACCTGAACATCAGCAGGAGAGGACTCTTTAAAGTAGAGACACTACATACTGATATACACCTGAACATCAGCAGGAGAGGACTCTTTAAAGTAGAGACACTTACTGATATACACCTGAACATCAGCAGGAGAGGACTCTTTAAAGTAGAGACACTACATACTGATATACACCTGAACATCAACAGGAGAGGACTCTTTAAAGTAGAGACACTTACTGATATACACCTGAACATCAGCAGGAGAGGACTCTTTAAAGTAGAGACACTACATACTGATATACACCTGAACATCAGCAGGAGAGGACTCTTTAAAGTAGAGACACTACATACTGATATACACCTGAACATCAGCAGGAGAGGACTCTTTAAAGTAGAGACACTACATACTGATATACACCTGAACATCAACTGGAGAGGACTCTTTAAAGTAGAGACACTGCATACTGATATACACCTGAACATCAGCAGGAGGGGACTGTTTAAAGTAGAGACACTGCATACTGACATACACCTGAACATCAGCAGGAGAGGACTCTTTAAAGTAGAGACACTACACACTGATATACACCTGAACATCAGCAGGAGAGGACTCTTTAAAGTAGAGACACTACATACTGATATACACCTGAACATCAGCAGGAGAGGACTCTTTAAAGTAGACACACTACATACTGACATACACCTGAACATCAGCAGGAGAGGACTCTTTAAAGTAGACACACTACATACTGATATACACCTGAACATCAGCAGGAGAGGACTCTTTAAAGTAGAGACACTACATACTGATATACACCTGAACATCAACTGGAGAGGACTCTTTAAAGTAGAGACACTACATACTGATATACACCTGAACATCAACTGGAGAGGACTCTTTAAAGTAGAGACACTTACTGATATACACCTGAACATCAGCAGGAGAGGACTCTTTAAAGTAGAGACACTACATACTGATATACACCTGAACATCAGCAGGAGAGGACTCTTTAAAGTAGAGACACTACATACTGATATACACCTGAACATCAGCAGGAGAGGACTCTTTAAAGTAGACACACTACATACTGACATACACCTGAACATCAGCAGGAGAGGACTCTTTAAAGTAGACACACTACATACTGATATACACCTGAACATCAGCAGGAGAGGACTCTTTAAAGTAGAGACACTACATACTGATATACACCTGAACATCAACTGGAGAGGACTCTTTAAAGTAGAGACACTGCATACTGATATACAGCTGAACATCAACTGGAGAGGACTCTTTAAAGTAGAGACACTACATACTGATATACACCTGAACATCAACTGGAGAGGACTCTTTAAAGTAGAGACACTACATACTGATATACACCTGAACATCAGCAGGAGAGGACTCTTTAAAGTAGAGACACTACATACTGATATACACCTGAACATCAACAGGAGAGGACTCTTTAAATTAGAGACACTACATACTGATACACACCTGAACATCAGCAGGAGAGGATTCTTTAAAGTAGAGACACTTACTGATATACACCTGAACATCAGCAGGAGAGGACTCTTTAAAGTAGAGACACTACATACTGATATACACCTGAACATCAGCAGGAGAGGACTCTTTAAAGTAGAGACACTACATACTGATATACACCTGAACATCAGCAGGAGAGGACTCTTTAAAGTAGAGACACTACATACTGATATACACCTGAACATCAGCAGGAGAGGACTCTTTAAAGTAGAGACACTACATACTGATATACACCTGAACATCAACAGGAGAGGACTCTTTAAAGTAGAGACACTTACTGATATACACCTGAACATCAGCAGGAGAGGACTCTTTAAAGTAGAGACACTACATACTGATATACACCTGAACATCAGCAGGAGAGGACTCTTTAAAGTAGAGACACTACATACTGATATACACCTGAACATCAACTGGAGAGGACTCTTTAAAGTAGAGACACTGCATACTGATATACACCTGAACATCAGCAGGAGGGGACTCTTTAAAGTAGAGACACTGCATACTGACATACACCTGAACATCAGCAGGAGAGGACTCTTTAAAGTAGAGACACTACATACTGATATACACCTGAACATCAGCAGGAGAGGACTCTTTAAAGTAGAGACACTACATACTGATATACACCTGAACATCAACTGGAGAGGACTCTTTAAAGTAGAGACACTGCATACTGATATACAGCTGAACATCAACTGGAGAGGACTCTTTAAAGTAGAGACACTTACTGATATACACTTCCTTCATAATTCACCTGAAAACAACCTCAAATGTCCATTCGTTGTGTAAATAAAGCGTCATATTGAACAGATGTTTGTTCAGACTCACCTGTCTGTCTCTTCAAGATGGCGCCAGTCAGGCTGAGTGTATCCTGGTCGTCTCTTCAGGTACAATCCATCTGGCTTTTATTAAAGTCAGGTATTAGACTAAGAGTAACTCCGAAACTAGTCCAATCTTCTTCTGTGGTTTTATATATGTGACGAGAAAATTTTAAATATTTCCTTTTAGACATAAAATCTTCTTCTTGTTGTTCTTGGCGTCTGTGGATCGTCTCTGTCCGTCTGAACTTTGAGCTGTGAACGGGAAACAGGTAAAAGGTGTGTGTTTGTGTGTGTGTGTGTGTGTGTGTGTGTGTGTGTGTGTGTGTGTGTGTGTGTGTGTGTGTGTGGCCATAAACCATCTTACAGGAAGAGCACACACACACACACACACACACACACACACACACACACACACACACACACACACACACACACACACACACACACACACACACACACACACACACACACCTTATCTGCTGCACGTCATGGGTAAATACTCTGCTGTCCTTGGAGTCCGCAGACAGGAGAGTATAACATCCTTAATGCAGAAGGTGCTGAAGATATTTAACATATTTTTTGAGGGGATTATTAATATGTAAAAAAGCAAAAAATACAAGTTCTTAATATGATAAATACAATAAAAAAATGTAAATAAATGTAATTGTTGCACTATAGTAAATGTAATGGATTGACAAAAGTAATTGTACCAGAAGAAATGTAGTTATTGCATTACATTACTGTATGTATTGTAATAGAATACATAGAATTATTGCACCAGAACAAATATAGTGTGTAATGTAATTATTGCAAATAAAAAATATGCTTATATTGAATAATATAGAATGCATGAAAGATATCCCACTAGCATACATGTAATTATTGCAGTACAATACATATAATTGTGCTGTAGTTTAAATGCAGATATCGCATTAAAATAAGAATGAAACTATCGTCTTAATTATTTTCCTTTGCACTTAAATAAATGCCACAAGATCCAATATCCCTCTAATTCCCCTTTATTTTAGTTTGAAATGTGCCTTTAACTCTTATTAATCTAAACAATGTGCAGTAACATGACTCAGCCTGCAGGGGGAGCTGTTTGAACAGTAATTGTTGAATTCAGTTCAACAACAAGAGTAAGTTAAATAAAGTTAAAGGGATATTAAATGTTAAAGGTCACCTATCATGCTATTTGTAGGCAATAGCATAGGTCTCAGATATATACAAATATATAAAAACATGTCTATGAAGTGTTTTGCTCAAAATACCAAACAGATCACCCATTCTAGCCATGCCTCATATCCCTCTATTTCACTTCCTGTTTCTAAAGTGCTGATTTGGGGAATAAAGCTTTAAAAAAGAAAAGAGGAGGGGTCTGAGCTCATGCGGGACCCGGCAGCTACAGTCTAAACTAAATACTGCCGTGATGAAACGCCATATCATGGATTATCAAGGATTCTTTCTGAAACAGTATGGAGCTCAAAGGCTTTCTCTCTTGCCGGTTATACCACAAGGTGAGTTCCTTTTTATTTCCTGCTTCTTCACACACATGCTCTCCAGTACAGGTTAGCTCTGAGTGTTAGCGATGCTAATGTAAACACCGACCATATTACGTCCAAAACAGTCGGGCATTGTTTCTGATAGCAACGTTTCTGATAGGGCCGTGGGTCCACATTTCAGATATTACGTCATATCGGACGCAAATCTGGATCAGCTCCGTTGTTCCCCGTTTTTAGAGATTTGGGTACGGAGGAAAAGAGAGAGGGTTTTATTTCCTGACGCTGCGTGAGTTCCCTGACACACCGGGGACACATGTTTATGTAGAAAAGACATCAAAAAGTGCATTTTGCATGATAGCTCCCCTTTAAATAAAATATCAAAGTAAACGTTTTTAGTTTTTTTTACCAAGAGTCATTTTAGTTGAAATTAGTTTAAAACGAGTTTATTCTCAATCTGTCCAGCAGGGGGAGCTACAGGATGGTTTAAAAAAAAAGAAAGAAAACTCTTCTTCATGTCCTCAGTCGCCCTCAGGTGAGGGACCATCAACCAGGAAATACAGTTATACATTTAGAAAGAAAACAGTGTCTTTATATTCAAGATATATATGTTTTTAACCATTGTGCACCTATTTTCTCTTCATTTTGTTGTTGTTGTTGTTGTTGTTGTTGTGTGTCTTTGTAGTCATGTTGTACCTCTTTGACTGTTAAGCATCTATTTTTTGTCTTTTTTAGTGTCTTTTTGGACAAATTGCGTATTTGTTCGGTTGTTTGACCTTTCCATTTGATCGTTAAGTCGGTATTTGAAGTTGTTTTACATCAATTGTTTGTCCTTTAGTCCCTTTGTGGTCATATTTGATGTCTTCTTCTTGGACAAATTGCATCTGTTTTCTTTCTATTCGGTCATAGAGTGTCTGTTTGTTGCTGTTTTACGCCTGTTTTCAGCCTTTTCTGTCTTCTCTCTTCCGTATCTCTGATTGTTTCGCAGCTTGAAGAAGAAGAAACACTTTATTAATCCCTTACAGGGACATTTCTTTCCCCACTCTGTTGTGTTTACACACATTACACACACAGGGGAGGATATACATGCACACACACAACCACATGCAGATAGGAGAGGTGGCAGAGCAGAGAGGCTGCCAGGTACCCGGTGCCAAGGGAGCAGTTTCGAGGTTAGTTGCCTTGCTCAAGGGCACCTCGGCAGTGGCCTTGGAGGTGAACTGGCACCTCTCCAGCTACCAGCTCACTCCATCTTTTTTTGGTCCGATCGGGATGTGACCCAGCAACCCTTCGGCTCCAAGACCAAGTCCCTACAGACTGAGCCACGGCCGCCCCAGCTTACGTGATTGTTCTGCATTTCTCACCGTTCGGTTTAATGAAGACGCAAATAACTCACAATTAGAGTAAGATGTTTTAAATGAAACTACGTGGACTTGTTGGCAGGAGATTAAAGCGAGCGGCCATCTTTACTTATGACTTTATTCTCCAACAAAAGAAAGCTGAGATAAAGAACCCGGACCACAGGAATGTGGTTGAGTTCCTGGCAGCCTGTAGGAGGCCGTATTAAAACTGCTTGTGTAATTATTGATTTATTTTTAAATGGAAACTCGTACATTTCTAACAATTTTCAAGGACTTTCTTGGAAGGAGTTTCGTAATGTGGTGCTAATTAAAAACCACAAACATGGGACGACGTGTTTCAACTCCTGTTGTTTTCCAGATGATGAATTTACTTCAAAGAAACGCCTGATTAAACTAAAAGGAGCCGGAAATGAACCGAACAGCAAACACGTGTTTCTACTTTCTTTCAATTTTGTGGATTTTTTTAAATAAAAACAGAATCATTCAGACGACAAACAAATGAAGACAATTTAGAGAATTTTCCAATAATTTAACTTCTAGTTTCATTGCATTTTTTTACCAAATATTGTGACATTTTTCCTACAAGAATATGTTATTTTTTCACCATGATGCTCAACTTTACTCAATTATTTACCTTAAAATAATATATATATATTTGTTTTTCAAATAGTATTTGTGGGGGAAACTTCTGAAGCAATTGGAAACAGGACTCAGAGAGACACGAGGAGAGCTGGAGCTTTGATGGAGTCAGGACTCAGAGAGACACGAGGAGAGCTGGAGCTTTGATGGAGTCAGGACTCAGAGAGAGACACGAGGAGAGCTGGAGCTTTGATGGAGTCAGGACTCAGAGAGAGACACGAGGAGAGCTGGAGCTTTGATGGAGTCAGGACTCAGAGAGAGACACGAGGAGAGCTGGAGCTTTGATGGAGTCAGGACTCAGAGAGACACGAGGAGAGCTGGAGCTTTGATGGAGTCAGGACTCAGAGAGACACGAGGAGAGCTGGAGCTTTGATGGAGTCAGGACTCAGAGAGACACAAGGAGAGCTGGAGCTTTGATGGAGTCAGGACTCAGAGAGACACAAGGAGAGCTGGAGCTTTGATGGAGTCAGGACTCAGAGAGACACGAGGAGAGCTGGAGCTTTGATGGAGTCAGGACTCAGAGAGAGACACGAGGAGAGCTGGAGCTTTGATGGAGTCAGGACTCAGAGAGACACGAGGAGAGCTGGAGCTTTGATGGAGTCAGGACTCAGAGAGACACGAGGAGAGCTGGAGCTTTGATGGAGTCAGGACTCAAAGAGACACGAGGAGAGCTGGAGCTTTGATGGAGTCAGGACTCAGAGAGACACGAGGAGAGCTGGAGCTTTGATGGAGTCAGGACTCAGAGAGACACGAGGAGAGCTGGAGCTTTGATGGAGTCAGGACTCAGAGAGACACGAGGAGAGCTGGAGCTTTGATGGAGTCAGGACTCAGAGAGACACGAGGAGAGCTGGAGCTTTGATGGAGTCAGGACTCAGAGAGAGACACGAGGAGAGCTGGAGCTTTGATGGAGTCAGGACTCAGAGAGACACGAGGAGAGCTGGAGCTTTGATGGCAAACACTGACGGTTTATTTGGAGCTTCGGCCGGAGAATTCACAAGACAAGTCACGGGCCACGGTCTGACCACACGGTTGAGATGCTACAATCAATTCTGAAGAGCCCTCCTGTAAAGATATTTGTACACCAATGACGTTTTTTTATTTATGCATCATCCTGTCATATTTATCTGGGACCTCTGACCATTTATGAATGAAACATAAAAATAATATCACAATAACTCTCCTGTCCACTTTTATCTTATCACTCACACTCTGTCTTCCGTATCTGAGTCTTATCAGTGACCCAGATTACAGATCACAAAGGGACTCTTCTTTATTTCATGATACTTAGAAATAAAATAAATACTGTGTCAATAACAAGATGGAGGAAGTCTCTTTCAAGATAAGATATAGAAATCTTCTGTTCATTCACAGGTGGATATCAGTATGTAGTGTCTCTACTTTAAAGAGTCCTCTCCTGCTGATGTTCAGGTGTATGTAGTGTCTCTACTTTAAAGAGTCCTCTCCTGCTGATGTTCAGGTGTATATCAGTATGTAGTGTCTCTACTTTAAAGAGTCCTCTCCTGCTGATGTTCAGGTGTATATAGTGTCTCTACTTTAAAGAGTCCTCTCCTGCTGATGTTCAGGTGTATATCAGTATGTAGTGTCTCTACTTTAAAGAGTCCTCTCCTGCTGATGTTCAGGTGTATATCAGTATGTAGTGTCTCTACTTTAAAGAGTCCTCTCCTGCTGATGTTCAGGTGTATATCAGTATGTAGTGTCTCTACTTTAAAGAGTCCTCTCCTGCTGATGTTCAGGTGT